AAAGGTCAAATTTTTAATAGCCTGGAATAGCTACCAGGTTTTATGCTGCTATCATGGACCAGGAGGAGCGGGTTCTGCACAACTCCAGCTATCCGGGAGAGACCTGGGCTTGCAAGCCAGAGCAGAAGACAAGTGCTCCAAGAGCAGCATAGCCCGAACGTGGATGCACCCAAAGTCAGAGTCATGAAAATACAAAGGAGACTTAGATTCATGGTCTCCCTCATCATGCACTTCATCGTAAGCTTCCTCTGTCAAGTTTTCCAGGAAGACAGAGGGTTTCCCAAAGTGCAAAAATGAGAGAGGTGGGATGACGCAGCACCTGCTTCGCAGGTGTCTCAGGGCACAGCTACTTGACCAGATCTCTAAGGATAGCTTAAGCCTGAAAGACATTATTTGTCTTGAAACTCACTCATCTCCACTAGCAGAGTGGTCTCTGCAGCCCAGTGTTAGGTAGCTGAGGAGCTTTCCTGGCAAATTGCTATATTTTTCCCAGTGACTAGATGGGGACTCCTTGGATTGCTCAGGTCGCCAATGGCACCTACAGCTTCCTTTCGGATCCCATCCTGACTGCATTTTGCTTCTGTTAAAGGGAAACAGGCAAAATTTGGCTCCCTGGCTGAACAGACATACTCTCATGGCCCTAAGCAGAGGCTCTAATGGGGCAAGATCTGAGTGAGATAAGCAGACATTGCACACCTCATGGGAACATTCCCCTTTTCTTCACTCAGACATCAGTGTTCCAGCAAATGAAACACAGGCCATCATTTGGGCCTGTTTTGGCTCCAGAATAAATATTTTTATATTCCCTTCAATCTGCAGTATAGACATCTTATGATTATTGCCAAGAATCTTTCTTTATATATGCCTAATTTTCAGTATTTCAGCAAATTTGCCTAATATAATAGCCTCAGGAATAATAATTAGCAGCTTATTTGATAATGTTTTATCTCTCAACATAAGAAAAGATCCTGTCCCTGTGAAAATTCTGTGCTGAGCAGCAAGATAGAGCTTTCTGGAGTGCTGTGTGAAAGTACGTTTTCACAGGAGATCTGGCTAAGCCACGGTAAGCAATGCTGTAATTAAAAAGAATAGAGAGCAATCAGGGGGTTGGATCCATAGAGTTTTGTATTTTTAGAGGAACAAAGATTTAGTAGCTCTGCTGCAAATTAGCATTTTCGCCTGCTAGAGGACACCTTGGTCATTTTCCACTTCAGATGCCTCTCCTACATCTTTAACAACAGGGCTATTCTTAGCAATAATGATAAAAAAAAAGACTTACAAAAGCACAGAACTTGGTCTCTTACCAGTGTTAGACTTTGTGTACAGCTCAAAATGTTATCCTGCTCTAAAAGCCTACAAAATATAACTGGCAGGCAAAAGTGGAACGGATAATAGGTGATGTAACCAGCACTTAAGTGTGCGTGTATATTTTTGCGGGCTCTTGGGGACGACTGCACTGACACTTACTGGTTTTGTCGCTGGCACATTACAGGCTAATTCCATTACTGCCCGGGCAGCAACACCCTCGTTCTGCAAAAGGTCGAGCTGCAATTACAACCGCTGAGCTCGGTGGTTCATTCATGGCAACGCATGGCACAGGCCCGTGACTCATAAGCATTACGTGACGGCTGCTAGATCCTCATAATTGCAGTTTTGGCAACATTACTTGAAACAGCTTTGTGACTGCTGACAAACTGGAAGACACCCACATAATACCTTCTGCATGGAAAGTACAAGAGACTTCCTACTGCAAGAGTTTGGGACAACAACATCATCTAAGAATAATGTTAATTAGCACATGTCAAAGCAGATGGACTCTGATAGTGTAGATCCTCGCTATGTAAGATTAGAGATCTTAAGCAAATATTAATTTCCATATTTCACATACTTGTGCTTGAGAAAAGCAAAAGCTAGATTCTGTTACCAGATAAAAAACTGTCCTTGAAATTATTAAGTTAGGTACAGCCCCCCACTGCCATCACCAATTAATATTTTCCCATTCTTGAGATGACACACAGGAAAGGATAGGTAGATTCATTCTCAAAATAAGTGAGTAGAAGCACTTACGTGCATATTAGGCTTGCATTTTAAAAGTATCTGTAGCCAAAGACATTGAATCGAGATCATTACATGTTAGAAGATCAGGTCTGAAACCTTTCAAGAACAATGCGGATTTCTTTCCAGCACATAGGTAACAGCTGGAGCATACTGCCAAAAGCACACATATTTGACATTTGATTTCCAACTCATCTAACATGGCTAGTGAAACACATGCATTTAATGAAAGCTCAGAAATACACTAAATCTAAATTCTAGATGGATAAACCTGAACCCATTCTCCCTGTAAAAAGACTTTTCTCCCTGTATTCTGTTAGAATTCAAAGAGAATGTGTGCGTAGCCTTCTCTTACTCTGTAAAATCAAACACCTCATAAAAAATACAAACAGCTTTTTCTTATCATAAGAATAGGAGTGAAAAATGTCTCTAGCACCACCCTCTCCTGTCAGCAAGTGCTATTGTGAATAACTGTGAAAACCATGGCCAAGCTCACTATAAACCATTGGACAGTTTGTCATCTACCAAGGGAAGGGTGTTTCCCCCTCACCTAAATTGCATATATTCCAAAGACCTCCCCAAAGTGTCTACCATTGTCAATTATCAAATAGGTCTATAATAATTACAAAATATAAAATAATTACAATTACCACATGAGTATAATTTTATAATAACAAGGTTTGGTTTAATAAATCAATTCCTAATCAAAGTCTTCTGTCTAGTCCAACAGGAAATAGTGTGTAACATTTTCTGAGGGATGAAAGATGAAATATTCCCCAAGAGACTTCCTAACCTGATCCATCCTTCTTATCTTCATGGGGGTACTACTCTAGCTCTTTACTATTCCTTCCCACGATATTGCCTCAGGGCTCTGAGAAGGTGCATTACTGAAATGATGTATGTTGGAACACATCCAAAACTACATGAATATAGCACATAAGCCGAGGAGCACGATAAGCAAAAGCCAAGTTGTTAAACTTTAAATGCTAACATTGTTCTGCATGTTCATCACCACACTAGCTGTCAGGATTTCTACTCAGAATACTGTTTTTCATTTATTTAATGAAAGGCATTCCAGAAATAAGCATTTTGATGTCTTTAGGTAGTAAATGTTAAGGGACAAAAGCCTTTCTCAATTTAATTAGCTGTGAAGACACTACATCAGGTAACGCTTACTCTTTAAAGTCAACCTACCAATTTAATTAGTTATGTTTAATCTAACACCACAGCATAACAAATCTATCTTGCAAAAATGCCAGCACCAATATTTCCATTTTTTCAGTGGAAAAATGAAGGCATCAGGAAAACTTAGAGAATCTTTCCAGAGATGTTATTTTCTCATCATTTTTCCCAGAAATCACTAAATCATGCAGAAACTTTGAACGATAGCGATAGCCAGAAATATTATGCAAGTTCTGCATAAAGTCTCAGACACAAGGCTCGTTTCTTGCTGGGACTGACTCTCATCCATTTACTTTTCAACCACATTCCAGTTTCTCTCACACCTTGATGTGACTTGGAAACAACACTGGGGGAAGGGAAAATAGTGCAGACCCAGTCAGTCAGAAAAAAAAAAAGACATGCAGAAAAACATGGCACTGTGCATTGTTCTGCGTGCAATACTTGGTCTTGCTACGTGCAAGCCAAAATATCTAGCCTGGCAGATAAAAGGCGAACACTTGAATCTACTCAATCATTTTCTTTCATTTCAACATCTTCATCCTTGGATGTAGGCGAATACAAGCAGTAATGAGACTCTAGCCATATTACAATACCTGGTTCACTTTAGTTACTCTTTTACACCAAAATTGTTTATAGACACAGAAGGAAAATGTATTGCATAGTACCACATTAAGAAAAAATCTTCAACACTCACTAGGAACTTTTATGCAAACTTGTGAACTTTTATGTGAAACCTTCATGCAATGTCCTCAGTTTTGTCCACCATACTTGACAGAAATTCACACCACCTTGCAGAGCTTTTACTTATAAGCCTGCAGAGCATATATAAGTAAGAAGGGAAGGGGAAAGGAGACATTAACCCTAAACAATTTTCCATTAGAAAATTGTTCTACATGAGCTGGGATAGTTTTCCTCAGAAATTAAGCATAATCAAGTCACAGATGTGCACTACTAACTTAAATCAGTGTATAGAACTATACAGACCCACCTATTTCAGAAAGAGTGATTCTTTACTTCAACTTGAGGATAAACCTGCAGAGCTTCAGTTGTCTTAAATTAATTTGCTTTAAATAATTTGTTTAGTAATCACTTTGTCAATTTGTGGGTTTCTTGTGTTTTTTTTTTTGTGTGGTTTATTTGTTTGATTTTTGTTTTTGTTTCTTTTTATTTTCCCCATGACGGAATACTCCATGTCAAAAGATCTTTATAAAAGCCTTAAAGCTTTTTTCTCAAAGACACTTTAATGTCTGTCACAGAAAACTGCTCTCAACTTCATCTCAGCCCCTCACACAAGCCTCGGGGAGAGGATATTGTTTTAAGGATATGGATAGACCATTTCTGCCATACATTAACTCCATTCCATATAAGCAACTTTCTTTATGGTCTTCTTCTGACCAATTATTCTCACCTGAGAGCTGCTTTGGTCTGATGCCACAGCACAAGACAGCCCTCAAGAAGAGCCAGTTTAGCTCTTCTGGCGTGTGTGCATGATCTGTTACAAACTGGCATATTCACATAATGTCATAAAACATCTGCAACTCTGTTGCATTATTTACCAAATTCTCTTTTTTCAAAGTATCTTTGCAAACAATTCATCTTTTTACTTTATCTTCCTTTATAAATAAGAATTACTTTAAAACAATAGTGGGACATCAGTCCCATTGTCATATCTTATGTAAGATCAGATTTAACTTTTCTTTGTAAAGTCATTGTTTAAACATGCATTCTAATTTTTTTTCAGTACTTGTAAATATTTTGCTTACCAATATCAGCTTCCCTGTGATTCTTGATATATTCAGCAAGCTCAAAATTTCCTGCTATTATAGCCACCTGAAAGATTGCAAAATAGTTACAATTAAAATATTGCCACCATTTATCAATCAGGAAAATATGTATGCTACCTCACTGACAAGTACATTCAAATCTACTTCCATTAAGTAAAATAAAGAAGCAGGCTGTTTATTCTAAAGTATTTTCATAAATATAATTTTTAAAGTGTGTATATATACATATATATATATATTATTTGTTTCCTAATTGTTGAACACAGACATGTAACTCTCTCTCCTGAATTCTAACCTCAATGCACTTGAAATTCTCCATTAGCTCTGCAGAATGTCTCTTGATGTCTCCACTCTTTTGCTTCTAATATAGACATGAATCATCACCACTTCCCTTTTCTAGATACATTTTGCAAGTTTATATTTCTGATAGCAATTCTTCCTGTGGCTTTTCCACAGAGCACTGTGGCTTTCCTAATGTTGGGAAAAGTGAGGGGCTGGACTCACCTTCAACACAGGAAATTCTGCATAGATGGGATGCAAGCAAAATAGATAACTGAGAACTCCCACCTTGATATGGGGCCACTGTCAACTGTGAGAAATTAATATATCAAACATAACTCACAAAGCCTTTCTGAAAGCAGCCCTGAAAGTCTTCCCAGAAGCCCCAGATTTAAACAGCTGGTTTCAACCACAGTGAAATAATCTCCATTTTATCTTTTTGGTCCTATAGTAGTTGGTTTAGAGAGAGATATAGGCTGATTTTGTTTAGGCTGTAAAGTCTGCTGGCCAGTAAAACATAAGCCTTCAAACTCATTATTGTGTTTTAAGCATAATATACTATCACAGTGACCTTACCAGAATACCTAGTAAAGCTTAAAACAAATAACTGAACATAGCATTTATCATCTTTATGACCCTGAATACAAGTTTTCCCCAAATTTTTGTTTCCACTGTTTTGAGGCTTTTTAAAAGGAAATTATTTCTAATTCCATTACAAAATTCCATCCAACATAAACTACTCAGTAATCATTTGCTTCTTATTTCAAATGCATATAGAACACAAAGAAATTTTGTTCCATGTTTTTACAGCACCTAGGAGTTATACTCAACACCTATATACTTGTTTTTCAAAATGATCCTCAGTAGACAGCCAGGGGCATGAGATGTGCAATATAAACACTTTTTGTCCTTAAAATAATTCAGCCAAGTTTAGTAGCACCATACTTACTGGTGATATTCATGTAACGCAGCTTTTCATTACAATATTAGCAGTAAGGAAATCCTTTGCTTTGGGCAATTCTCACTTATGTAATTTCAAGGGTTTTAGTAGCAAAAGGCAATGAGTCAGTAATACTGATTCCAATACAACCCCCCTTCTGCTGTTAGATGTAGCCCCCTCAAAAAAAAAATAAAAAGAGAAAAAAGAACAAAGAACAAAAGAAAAGAACATGCCTTCTCCTTCTCAGGTATATCGCAACACTTCTGGATGTGACATGAAATTTACACTGCAAAAATCAGACAGAGTGATACAGGCACTGTCACCTCATCACTAATAAAGGCGATAATCCATTTGACAAGTACAACTTTAATCATTAGTCAGAAAACCTCTACTCCAAAATACTCCAAGAATTCACAAAATTGCAGAATCACCGAATGGAAGGGACCTCTAGAGATCACCTAGTCCAACCCACCCTGCTCCAGCAGGGACACTAGAGCATGTGGCACAGCGTGGCATCCAGTCACAGGGTGGCTTCCAGAGAAGGAAAACTCCTTGGAAAAAACGCTCCTCCTGAGCACAGACAAGAATTTAGCCCCTGGCTTTCAGGGTGCAACTGGAAAGTGTTCAGAGGTTCATAACTGTGACGTCTGTGCACACATCAGGGGTTTTCTTTACCATAAAAAGCAAGCAAAACTACCTTTTTTCATCATTACACTAATTAGCATGAATAATTCAGAGAACTCGCAAGCGATAAGCAACTTGCTAGAGAGCAGCCATGTTACCCGAATGAAATATTTGATACAAAGAAGCTAATTTTAAAGCTGAAGTATAAACATGCTGTTCAACTGATAAAAGCGTTTTATTACCTGGAGGAAAAAAAATTCAAAAGATACTATCAGACAGTGAAAAGACAGCATGACAGAAAATTGCTTTTGTATTTACTTCTGAATCAAGTACTAGATTCAACACATTAAAGCTATCGCTTTTTCAATTTTATTTAATTCAACTGGAGGAAAACATTATGTAAAACTTTAACAGCAAACACTAAGAAAAAGTATGTCAAGATGCAAAGAAAGCAGGAAAAGGTAAAAACAAAGTATTAATCTTGCTTGGCACAACAACAATGTATTTCACTTGAGTTTGATGGGTGAGGAGTGTGGGAGAAAGTGCCATCAGAGACAAATCTGAAAGACTCAGAGACACAAAATTATATTATGCTTTAGAGTTGTAAAATGCTTGGCACAGTAACAATACCTGTTTTTCATCAAAATTCATCTTGACACAAAGTTACGGTGTGTTCTCAAGAGATGAGAGGCTTTAGTAGGTAGCCTATGGCCAGAGCCATCGTTCATAGATCTGCCAGTGTGCAGGTGTGTGGGACAAGTGAGGGGTCCTAACAAAGTCAGAGCAAGGGCCTTGCGTCAGTTCAAATTTAATGCAGTGTGGTACAAAACCTCAGTTAAAATGAAAACTTGATCCTTCATCAAAAACTAGCTGCAATTTTATAACTTCAGTTAATTTATTTGTACCTGCAGAAAAAAATCTGACCTAGCATGCTTACAGGAAACAACAGAGTTCAATTATGCAGTTCATAATTTACATGTCTGTAAATTAACATATTTTGCTTTTGAGGATGTTCTACAGCTTAAAAAAAAAAAAAAAAAAGTACTAGACTTCTATACTTCTATTTGTGAAGTTATAGTGGGAAAGAAGTTGTTTGGGGCTATTTTTTTGGATACCAGACATCATTTCTCCACAGTGAAAAAGTAGCAAAACCAGCAAAACCCGATCATTATAGGCAATCTCTGAATAGTAATAGTAAGCATAGTGAATGATCTCTGAGCTCCAAGCTGGCTTATCCCACTAAGGGTGATTATATGGACACCTAGTTATTTTCAAATGACATTTGATGACTCACCCGACTAACCTGTTTGTACCTGTAAGGTAAAGATTAACTTCATATTTTTATCCTGTATGTTTTTAAGACAGCAGTAAAAAGTGGTCATTTGCTTTTTTCCCCACTAACCGTTACAGACCCACCTGCCTTAATTTTTCAAAATTAAAGAAAAAAATTCCCCTTACAACAGGGAAATGAGCAGAAAGCAAAGCTAAGTAAAAGATTTAACTTTGCAAGAGGCAATCCATACTAGCCAGAAAAAAAGTGATAAATGAGAATGATAAATCCACGCAGCTGGAATGAGGTTCCACGGTACCGTCAGCATCCTAACAAAATGCTTTTGGGGCCAGGGAAAGGGGCCAGGTTGCAATCCCACAGCTGGCACTGTGCACCACGCACCCTGCATGCGGCCATGGTCACTGCTAGGGCAGTAAGGGCAGATATGGCCACACTGCCACAGAATGCGCTCAGAGCTGCTGTGGATTTTTGCTAGGCCTTGCGATTCTTTGGGGATATTTGCCCTGCTTTGCTTGGAGTAAGGCACCCCATCGTCTCACGCCCCGTCTCACAGGCAGGTGTTTCCTCCACGTGCAACTAGTCACAAGGGTTTGTGCCTCACCGTGCCAGGCAATCCCAGGCAGACTGCCACAAATTTAGCAAGGAAGGGAATGGCTTTAGTTGACACGAGGTTAGCAGCTATGGATGGCAGCTGTGTGATGGCCCAGTGAAGTCGAAACATGAATGAAGGAAGCAGTGATAACACACAGACTGGGGAAGAGAGGATAGAGGGTCCTGGCATAGGGCACCACACCAGGATTGAATGACTCCAAATGGAGATGCAACTTCAGAAGGGATTTTTTTTTCCCAGTATATTATTATTCTAGTATTCTGATATTCACAGTGAGAAAAGTTCCCTCTGGATATAGGAAACTTTTAAGATGTCTTTCAGAAGTCAAATCAGAAATTACGCCTTTGAAGTATCTGATTAGTTCTGCTTTCCCAAATTTTGCTTTCCAAAGAAACTCCATTTAAATAACGGCAAGTAAGACTACTTTGTGTGCACAGCAACACCTGACAGATGCCCGGTGAAAGGCTGCTGTGTGACAAGGGATTCATAAATGTTTGCAGATTTAACTATCAGTATTATCTCACAATCCAGCCTCACAAATACAGCCGTTAACATATCGCTTATATTCAAGCATTTAGATTTTTTTGAATTGTGATTAATACAGTGCTTTGCTCTGGAATTGGAAATGATATGTACTTTACCTGTCACTAGCTTCCCGCAGTTGATTTGTGCTGCTCATGAAATGCATCACAGGTAAAGATTACATTAAATTCGAGTCAGACTTTTGTAGTCTGTTAGCAAATACGATTTCAGGACTCCACCTGTTCTCCCTGAAAGGCCAGCATCGGGACTAAATCACATTATTGCTCTTTGGAACAAACTGCTCCACAGAGCAAGAAACACCCCAAAAAGGCAGATATTGAGGTCGTTCCCTGCTAAATCCAGCCCAGGAGCTCTGACAAAATTTCTGCACGGAGGTGAGGAAAGCATTGCTCAGCTCATTTATGTTTCACTCGTGGTCGAGTCAGCTGCACGTGCACATGCTTCAGTCTGAGACTAGGTAAGATTAAAGCTTTAAAATGCACAGTCTAAATGAGAACGGAGGCTGGTCAAGCTGCACCTGCAGCTCACAATAAACAGGGGAGGATAAAACCACCAGCGCTAACGGAGCAGGCTAAAATTTCCACCTACTTTTTCATCCCTTCTCCTCTCCCTGCAATAACTTCACTTTCCTTATGAAAGGAAACCACACTCATCTTTCCTTCAGTGCCAGGGTGTCACCCCTCCGTTGTTTCTGCTCTCCAGCTGTGCTCGCTAAATTTAAGGGCTTTCCAGAGAACTTGAAATAGCCGAGACTTCAGG